TCCATCATCCTCTTCGAGTGACAACTCAGGTACTGCTAGATGTTGAGAACCACTTTCCCCTAGAAAAGGTGCTACTGTGTCTCACTCTCTGATAATAACTTTTAGATATTCTTGCTGGCTTGATCTGACCTTGGCATTTACTATCTCAGTGGACTGGGTATAGAATGTCCCAGCTACTACCTCGCCTGTCTTGGTTCACTCTATGCTGCCAGATGGGAACTCCTGGTTTGCTACACGGCCAGGGCTCCTTGCATTTTGATTATCTTGGAAATTTTCCAGAACTATGTCTTATAGCGGAGTAAATTTATACTTACTTATATCAGTGTCAAGTGGCAGGAGATGGCTAGAACTCTGGTCTCTAGACTACCAGGGTGATTCTCTTTCCACTATACTACTATACTTGATACACAATTATTACATTTCTGTTTTGCTTACTGGGAAAGAAAGATGACTCATGCAGAAAAGTTTTGCCATAACTTTTTTCTGGCCATTTTATGCACACTAAGTGTATAACTAAGTTTGGCCATTTTCACCAATTCTCTGTGTTAGGGAGACTAAATCCTATACAACTGATTCTTCTCAGTGACTCATGTCTGAAATCATGGTTCCTTCAATAAAATGTAGGCTGAAGTTTTCTAGGGTAACCTCTGAATGCCAGACTCACTCCCAGTAGGGAAGAGCTTTTGAGAAAGAGCTTTCCTAAATAAAGAGACTTTATTGTCTCTAATGCCTCTAGCAGTGAGCCCAGAGAAAATGTAAGGACCGTTCCAGGCCAGTTTTATGACACCTGGAACTAAGGGCTAGATGCTGGAGACAGGGTTTTCTCTGGTTTGCCTGTAGGTTTGTCCATAGAGCAGAGTTTCTCACAGATGTACCTCACCTTGATTGGCTTGACCATGCTCCTGCCCAGAAACTGGGGCCAACTGTGATCTCTTGGGGCTCTGAACCCTGTCTGGCTGGAGATGATATCATTGCTCACCAGCCAATGTCAAGGATAAATACCTGAATATTGGCTTGGTATGCTGAGGCCAATTAAAAAACTAGGATACTTGATGAGTAAACCTAGGATTGGCCAAGCAGCAATAAAATCACTAGAGGTTGCTAAGCACCATCATCAGTATATCAGGCATCAGAGAAAGTGACCTACTGAATCTTAAATAGCTCACGTTTCAAAATCTGAAGAAACAGGTTCTGTGAATAAGAAGATTAAGGGATTGGAGTTTGGGCAGTTCTTCGTAAAATCTGGCCAGATCTTCAAATCCAAACACTAAACAAAGGATTATGTTTATTTTGTTAAAAATAATTGTGCTCGTAATGGGAGGGGTAGAGAAAGGACGTCCTTGACCCCACTGCAAAACATGAATTTTTGATAATTTATTTTCTCTTAAACTATTTGGGATTAAGGATATACATTTGAGAGACAGGTGAGCTATGGTGAAAGCCAGGGAAGAAAACACAGTTAAATGAATTCCCCAGAGAGTAAGCCTAGGACCGTGGTGTTAGTTTGCGCACAACTGTACTAAGAGCAATAACTAGCAACTGAGTAGTTCCTACCTGATTTCTGGAAACTGTACTGATTGTCAATCGTCAAACAAATTCTTTGTTCTTTGTCCTAAACTACTGATGCCATTTTATGAATCCTTCATCAAAAACTTTGGGAAAAACTATAGTATATAATACAAAACATTTTTATTTCATTATCTTTGCTGAGATCAATGAGTTTAACTTTCAATCTTACTACATTTTGAACTGCTGCAGATGGTGTAGGTGGCAAATATTACACATTTGGTTAGAAAACATCATGGATATAAATACCCTTGTCTTTTTCCCTCAGATCAGTGGAGAGCTTTAAGAACAGGATAAATACCCATCTGCCTGGAAAATTGCCTGGAGGCAGGGTGATGGACTAGATGTCTTACTTAGATTCCTTCCAACCCTCTGATTCAGAGCCCTCCTCTGTTGCCAACAGTGAGTTCTGGTGGGATACGTCCAGGACTGCAGCCCCTTCTGCATGTGTGCATAATGCCCCAAGATTTTTCGTTGAGTTTAGTGAAGAATAAGCTCCCTTTTCCATCTGTATGGAAATAGGCTGCTTCTGAAATGCTATTTGCGGACTTCATTGGAGGGTGTGGGTCTAATCAGAAATGATGAATGGATGAACACTAATGGATTTTTTGGAGAGGTCACTCTTTCAGGGGGCTAAGCATCTTGATTTGTGCATCTTTAAGGGGTGTGGTACAGAGCCCAAAGGCATTACCTAAGCTCACCTGCCAGGTGATGGCCTAGTGGGATCATCATGGACTTGGGCCAACAACTAGACACTGTTGATGGCAGTTACACCTGTGCAGATGCAATGTAAGTTTATAATGGAAGTGGGTACCCCATTCATGGCTAAAAAGTCCTATTTACAAGCCTCATGAGTAAAGAGACAGCCATACACTTTTGTTTTGAGATATGTACATATTTATTTTTGTTTTTATTTAAGTTTTAAAGCAAGCTGTATACTCTTTAGAAATTTTTAAAGGAAGTAGAAATATATGAAGACTGAAACAAAAATAATTCTAAATTCCCCAGCCCAGAAACATTCACTGCTAATGCTGTGGTATACAGCAGACACTTGAAACTTGTGAGTGGACATACTGAGCACATGAAAAATGGACACATTCACCCATCCCACCATAGCCTATAAGTCATCTCTAAAGATCGAGTAAATTATAGTGGAAAATTTAAGTGCCCACTTCAGAGCACTAAAAATTCCTTTTAATTTTTTACTTGATGAGTAATTTTTGCATTCTCTGGAATACAGGCAGAAAAGTTTCATGAGTTAGTTTTTGTCACTTTCAGGGTAGAAAAAATGATGAACTCATTCATCAGGCTCCCAACTTCCATAAGAAGCATCCCTCCATCGCTGTTCTGCTCCTGCCAGTCTCTCCACTTCCATGACCAGCACTGGCTGATTGGGTTCTATCCAAACTCATCACCCTCTTTTTTTCTTTTTAAGATTTTGTGAAAAAGATGTCGTGTTTTCTTTTAAATAATTTAAATCACTTTGCAGAGTGTTACTTGATTTTGTAATCATAAAATCCTTCTGACAAGTAGCTGCTGGTTGGCTGCCCTGTTACTCTATGTAAATTGATCATCCCTCCACACCAGAGTTATACACTTAACATCTCAAATTCATACATCAGCAATGCAACTGATTTGTATGTTTTATGAACTTTGAGTTGCTCATGATTAGAAAAGTTACATATGCATATGTTAGAATTTTATTGTTTTTCTGTCTAGCCTTTTTCTCTCTAACTCTGTATATGGGGTGTTGTATATGTGAGTATGGCTGTGTATGTACAATGTATATACAGTTCCTGCATGTTATATTCTTAAATATTGTCAGTGGAGCATTTTTCCAGTTCATTATGAGTATCCATTTATTGATTTATTTGTTTGTTGTATATTGTTTGTCTTACCCACCACAAAATACACATCATCAGAACAGACACATTTTACTGTTGTTCATTGTTATATCCCCAGCATCTAGAATAAGTCTTGGCCATAATAGATACTAAATAAACATTAGTTTATTGAATAAATGAATGGCTAAAATAGCCACTGGATATATAGTTTCTTTTCTTTTCTTTCTTTCTTTCTTTTTTTTTTTTTTTGAGACAGTGTCTTGCTCTGTCACCCAGGCTGGAGTGCAGTGGCATGATCTTGGCTCACTGCAAGCTCCACATCCTGGGTTCACGCTATTCTCCTGCCTCAGCCTCCCAAGTAGCTGAGACTAAAGGCGCCTGCCACCACGCCCAGCTAATTTTGTTTTTGTATTTTTAGTAGAGACAGGGTTTCACCGTGTTTGCCAGGATGGTCTCGATCTCCTGACCTCATGATCTGCCTGTCTCGGCCTCCCAAAGTACTACGATTATAGGCATGAGCCACCGCGCCTGGCCTACTGGGTATATAATTTTTGATGATTGAATAGTATTTCCTAATAGAGGTATAAACACAGTTTAGTTAACTATCCTTTTTAATGTTAATGTGATATAATATTTTTATTAACATAAACCATGTTCTGAGGAACAAAGATCTTGGTCACTAGTTTTGATTTTTCTGTCAGGATAGAGTCTAGATGTAGCGTTTACTAGGTTGAAGCATAAAAAAGATACGAAGCCATTACAGCTTAATATTTTTTGCCCATTTTTCCCCTCAGAACACTAGCAAAGTTTTACACTCCCATAAGCAATGAATGAAAGTTCTTGTTTTATGTAGTAACTTTTTTCAACTTTCTCAATTCTGGAATTTGAAGGAATTTCATTTCTATTGTGGACATCACATTAGTCAAGATCTCTCTAGCTCCTGGAACAAAAACTTCCAAATCTTAACACCGTAAGTGTTTTTTTTCTCTTGTTGATGTCATGGTGTGATGAAGCTTGAGTCACTCTTCTGGATAGCAGCCCTCTAAGCAGGGACTCAGGGATTTGAACTCTTTTAATCTACCATCTCTGAGATCTCTGAGCGCTGCACTTCTGGATGAATAAGTGTGTGTGTGTATATGTGTGTGTGTGTGTGGAAAGAGAGAGGGAGAGACAAAGACAGAGAAAGGAATCAAGTGGTATATTTATTTTATGACTAAGCTCAAAGTCAAGTATATATATCCACCCACATTCCATTGGCCAGAACTCAGTCATGTGATCATACATAGATGCAAGAGGAGCTGGAAAATAGAGTCTCCCTGAGTACCCAGTTGATAGATAAATTGTACGTTGAAACCGATTCTAAAAACATCTTTCACTTTTTGGATAGCAGAAGAGGATAGGGTGCCTATTATTGATCTGATGCCCCTGATTCTGATCAAGTGTTCTACACCCTTCACCTCCTGTGACAGTGGCCAGCATGTGTCCAGTAGTACTCACAACATAAAGACAAATAAACAGAACAAGCACCAGTCTTGTGAGATGGAGTTGCTTGTCCTGGAATTGAGGAGAAACGCTATTCAATTTACCCACCTTTAGAGTTCTCTTTGGTGTTCTGGAACAATTCCAACTTGGATAATTGCATTCTGCTGATCTAAAATTCCCCTGTAGTTTCCTTCGGATGAGCTAGCCTTCATTTCCCTCTCTGCACATCGTAGCATAGTGTTACTGGCACCCAGTGATTGCTCCATTCTGCAAAAGAGCTGGTTACATTTCACCACCAGGGAAGTGATCCCTGGGTAAATATACAGAATCTGCAGGTTTCTTTGGTTTCTTAAGCGTAGAAACATACATTTAATGGATTAGTAAAATTAGTGACTTGAAACTCTAGGTAGTGGAAGAAGTTAGTAATTTTCTGTTACGCTATAAATTTAACTCTAGAAATTAAAAAAAAATCTTCTCAAGGATATGTAGTCTCTTTTGACCCAACAAACAATAGAGTACATTTTCTGTTGCCAAATATGAGATTCTGTAATGATGTATTCAATGATGTCTATGGGATTTTTGCTATATATTTATAGCACTATGTTTACCTCTATCCAAAATAATAAATTCTTTCTCTAGCAGATTTCAATTAGTAGAATTAACATTTAGAAAACTACTTTTTTTCTCCTAGGAATATTTACTTTGATAAGTAGTCTACACCATCCCCAACTAAATGCTTATGTGTGCTAAAATAGAAAGGAATGATATTAATTTTCATCCAGAAATAAAATACTGCTTGGTGGTGGGCGATTCCGTTAAAAATTGAAGGTCAATTTGCAATTAAAGGGTCTTTTAACAAAGTATCAGAATAACGTACTGCTCATTGGGGTGATGAAAACAGGAAAAAATATGGCTGTTGAGCAATTATTAAGGTTGAGCTTGAAACTTGTAGAAATCTTTTTTCTTGTCTAAAAAAATATTTTAAAAAAATCCAGGCTTACTTCTGACTTTCGAATTTCAAAGCTCCTGTAGCCAACAGAGGGAGATTTTCTAACAGTAGGGGGTTATCCTATTAAAATTCATCATGATTCTCCTTCCTGAAAGAAGTAAACAAGAATCAATTTTCTTTAGTAAAGAAGTTGGCTGAGACGCAAGTTGATCTAGGGTAGACTTGATGGATTCATATGAAACATTTACAAAATAATTCAGAATCAGAATACACAATTTACAGGGAATTCTTTTCCTTTCCTTTTCTTGGGCAGGAGGGAGAGGAGGAAAGGAAATCTGTATGAAGGAAGAAGAGGAAAGCCCATAGCACATACAAACAGATTTTGTAGTTTTTAATTCAGCTAAGCCACGAATGCATGGAAGATGCACAGTACTGTAATCATCTGGCTAGATAGATGTAATTGTATCTATCAAACTAAATACAACACTGTTAGATGACAGCCAAGATTGGATTGCATATAAGGGTCAGACAGAAACCTAGAGTGACCTCACTCCTCTCTTCTCACCATGGCTGTTTTCTTAGTCTTTGATGGGGACCCATTTTGCTAACCATGTAAAAGCATAAACAGTAACACTGTCTTTTTGTTCTATGCCAACAGCCTTTCTAGAGACCATGTTCCGTTTACTTGGGCTCAGGGGATTAAGCCTGCCCAGGCCTCCCTTGTATTTGAAATGTATGATATTGATATCAGTGCTTAGAGAGAATCAGGCCTCTGCGATGAACAGATCATGCCTGGCTCCATAAAGTCTACATTGCATGGAGAGATGTATAGGCTGGATGGAGAAGGGCCAAGTCAGGCTTTCGCTCTGGAAAGCAAATATTAGGGTAATGAACTAAAGAGTTTGTTTCCTAGCTTAGTCCTTAATGTTCGATACATTTCCATGGGCTATGGAAATGTGAACTTCTGAGTAGTTCTACACTGGCTATCGAGGCTGTTCATGGTCATCTCATAGATGATAGCTGGGCTATCAGCATTAATGTTTCTCTGCCATGCTGCCTTTAAAACAAGCATGCCCTTCCCCCTTGCTCATTTATAAGCAGTTGGAATCTATTTTCATGGAGCTCTTCCAATCAGGATCATATCCAAACCATTTTGGTTTTTTTGAACCTTCCGTACTATATTTACTGTGTTTAATGAAAAGTCTGGATTCTCCCCATGCTAAGTAGTGAATCTAGGATGGATGAAATATTCCACTAGTCCGTCGCATTTATGGAAAGAGATAAAATAAACAGAAAATGTGTGGCTCTTGAGCGAGCTACTTCATCTCCCCATTCTTGTACGCATTTTCCATCATTCTTCGGTACCCTGCTGCCACCGAGTTATACAGTTCCCATTGTTTGTGGCTTGTGCTTCAGAGAGGAACAAGGCTCTGCTGAAGGCAGGTTTGTCTTGTGCCTTAGCATAAAAATCCATGCCACTTTTGCATATGCTGTGTGTTAAATTTAACCCGGTTAACGCCCCTCTGCCTGAGCTTTTGGAAAAGAGTCCCAAATTGTCACATGTGAAGGGACACTTCAGTGCTGATCTTTATTTCCATGAGATTAAAAATGAAACATGTAACCACAAAGCTGGTTTATGTCATCCCCCTGTCGGAGTCAGCAGTCATGCCAAAAATTAGATATTTGATAGGTTTGTGAGAGAAACAGATGCAGAAGGATGCCATTCCCACAATTTAGACTCCTTCTTATCTTTAAGCTAGAAAGAACATTCCAGATGAAGAAAATCTATTTTATTGGCTTTAAAAAATAGCAAAGAAAATGCAGAAATAAAAAATGGTAATTTAAAACTGATGTCATTCTTGGGGACTTATAAACTGCAAATTGGTATTTCTAACTAAAAAAAAAGTCATTTAAGACATGTTTACTTGATGTTTTCATTTGTGCTGCATTCTTACCTCAGCTATGGAGTTATAATTGAGAGAAAATATCCACGAGATATGTTCACATATAGTAACATGTGGATATAGGCAAGAAAAAGTAGAAAGGGAAACCATAAACCTCCAAAAGGCTAAAACATCCAAAAAGTATTCTCTCAGCTTTTTTTTTTTTGGAAGCATTTTGTGTCCCATTCTTTTTATTTAATTCTGCCAGCTGTCTGCTAAACAAATCTAGCCAGGTGGGGCTTACAATCCATGACTGAAAAACCTACTAGTGCAGCTGTCCAGCTTGCCCGGAGGAAGAATTCCGACAAATGGCAGGAACGAAAAGATTGTTTTGTTTTCAAGAAAGTAGCTCTTATACCTTTCTTGGGTTCAGTTTTTGTTCTGTTTGCTTAAGTTAATTCATAGCTCCTAAGGTTTTATGGTGAAATAGAAAAATAACATCACCCTTTAAAAAATCCAGGATATTTTTGTTGTAGTCCAGTTTAATTTACTGTAAATTGCCCTTAAATAAATGCTTTATTTTATATTGCAACCTGGCACTGAGCTGTCCTTTTTTTTTTTTTTTTTTTTTTGAGTTGCTGATTGCTAACTCTCTTCCTCTTAGGCAGGTACAAATTATTAGTGAACTGCGACTGAACTTTATTTCTAAATATCGCATAATTAAATACAGGGCTATTTAAAGGTGAAGGTTGGCACGGCTTGTCTGTGAGCAGAGGAACAGAACAGGCTTCTTTGCACCGCATCGTCAGTCGACCTCAACTGTGAATTTCTAGTCAGCAAATGGGCGCTTCATTTGGTGCATTTGAGCAGAGGATGGGAAGAGCTGCGCTAAAAATGATCACATCGCCATCTGATCTACAGCTCTATCGATGACAGATCAACACGTATACCACTCAGTTACTTTCCCTATTTATTTGACATTTATCGATTCAGTGAATCTCAACGTTTTTGTGAAACCTGCCTAAAATCTTATTATCTCATGAAAAAGGCTGCTGGAGTTATAGCTGGTCTCGGTCTTTGGTGCCAGCACCTGTTCGAGAGATATGATACTCATATGCAGGATTAGGACACGGTGCTGATTGTAGCCAGACTTCTGTAACTCTCCCCAGGGAAGTACCTGGGATGCCAGTGATGCCCATCAGAGAAGCAACCGCAAACCCGGTGATCTTTGACACGTACAGGAAAGCACTTACTATGTCCATTAGCCGGCTGTGATTTGTATATAAGTTTAAAAGAGAATGAGACTCAGTGGGGCAGTAAGAATTTTCTTAGCAAGGGAATATGTCATACCATAAACTGATGAGGATAATTGGCTAAATCTCAGAGTGAACTTGGCAAAGAGCTAGAACTAGGAGATTGGTGTATTCAGTTGATTGTTCTGCCATTTATAGGGGCACAAGGAAACAATGCCCATAGTCTGAGTTGTGTGGATCAAAATGGCATCCAAAATAAGCAAGTGACATCAGACAATTGCTCAAGTTGCCTTTTTGCCTTTTGTTATATAACATGGCATGAGTGATATCAGCCCGGGTGCTCACAAACCAAAAAGAAAGAAGGCCAATTTTTCATGAGGAAATCGAAATGCTGATGCAGAACTAAACTTCACCATTTGTTGTTACTTATTGAAGGACAGTAATGAGGAATTTGGGGCACAACTGGTATAGATGCACAACAGTAACGTACCACAAAACAGTAATGACATTACTTAACCCTCAGAGGATTTATAAATGCATTTAAATGTTAGGCATGAATTAATTGTGCAAAGATGCATTAACAACCAGGTTAAAAGAGGCAAAGCATCACTTCCCTCTCTCTCTCCCTATCACCCTGGAAACCCAGACCAGGTTCTCCTCATACAACAACATCCATCTGTGTCTTAATTTATATTTCCTTTGGAAATTTAGACTTAACTACTTTTGGACAGTGTGATCGGCCAACATGTTGCTACAATAGTAACTTTATGGGTGAGCAGAAATAAAAACGAAGAAAAAAAATTCCTGAATATTATAAATAAAATATCGTTTGCTCTCAGTACCCTACCCTGATAAGAGGAAAGAAAGAATAACCTCTTAAGAAAGAATACCCCAAAACCTACACATGTAAGAAGTGGTGTTTTGCAGGAAAAAAATAGAAAGGAAATTCCATAACGTTTCCTCCCTTTTCCTTTCTTTCATTATGTATGCACGTGCATATGAATCTGTTTAAATTTAAATTCTCTTTAAATACATCTTTAAATGTGGGCAAGGATTGCTCCATAATAGAGTGCAGACAAGCAAATCCATAATATATACATTTTCTCCATTTAGAGATTGATGAATGGAGAACCAAAAGAATAAATATTTGATAGTTGTAGAAATTGAAATTTGTATATGTGTTTGACAAAAATCTTAGATTTCTAATTTCTAACCATGTGGTCAATTTAAACCAATATTATGGAGATAGTAAAGTTTTCACTGATGTTATCTCCATTAACAAAAACATTTACAGTAGAACAAAAATTTTTCAGTACAAAGAAAGTTGGTAATTAATAGAATGATTGGTGCATTCAGATATAGCATGTCTTTTTGTGAACAGAAATTTCATACAGCAAATGCTTCTATGATATAGTTAATCTGAAGCACGATGTTAGGTTTGTTGTTTTACATTTACATGGGAAAAGGGAGATCAAATATCTTCTTTAGTTTTATGTCTTCTTCTTTAGTATCCTAGGCTGTCCTTCCAAGAGCTGTATTTTAGCCTTCATGCAAATTGTTTCCTTTTTACTAGTTCTGCATCATTTTCTCAGCATTTTGCTGACTTCCCACCCCCAGGATTGTGAACTTGATTTAAACCATGTCTCTATGAAAAAAACACTGAATCTTTATCATGTTTTAAGGATATTTTTCTTATAAAAATAGTGGTGTGTTCTTAAAATTATTCAATCCAAACATTCAACAAATGTGCCTTACTAATAGCATATAAAACATAAATGTACACATTCTGATTTGATACTAGAGGAGCACAAGACAGAAGAATTTTGCAAGTCTTCCATTCTCACGCACTAGTTTTGGCATCTTTTGGATTATGGCCCAGTGTACTAACAGTGTATTTCTGTATCACACAGGTAGAAGTGAAAATTTGAGGCTCATTTAACAGTGTGAATTTTCCCAATGTATCACAATTACAGAGACACCTGTGCTTTCTAACTTTTTGCTGATCCACTCTGATAATTCAGTGTACTTAAATAACCATATTGCTAGTGTACCTAAGTGCCATATTTTATTTTATCCTTCCCTTACTTCCCCTTCTTTCCTTTCTCCTTTCATTCCTCACTCTTTCCTTCCTTTCTTCTCTCCTTGTTCAGTTTTTGCTTCTTTCATCCGATGTCTTTGTCCTCCCTTCTTTTCCTTTATTTTTCCTTTTCTTCTCTATATTTTCCTTTCCTTTGTTGAAGTTTTAAAATCTGCCTTTAAGCAATAGTTTTTCATCATGCCCATGGAAGTCCTAAATTTGACAAAGTTTTCATTCATTCACTAAAATGAGGAAAAACAAAGTTCCAAGATGCTGCCTATCAACAAGCAGTCACATTATTCTATAGAAATGGTATTTATTGATTTCATTTTCTATCAAACATGTTTCCTGTTTCACAATGATAAAAATAAAACTCCTACAAGGCTATACAGCCATAAAATTTGGGTTTAAGCATCTAGTCTAATGTATAAATCTGCCTTCACATAGCAATTGCCTGTCGAGTCACAACGGAGAGGCAGACCTTCCCAAGTTTCCTATGTAGCACTGTTTACAAGGCAGTCCTGTACTTCTGGTTTACAGCCCTGCATAGATGCTGTTACAGTTATACTTAGATCTTTTTTTGGTATAATGGAATTTAATGAGAAGGAAAGTGTGCTTTCAGTTTGCATTTCAGAAGGATTTATGGTTAAACTTAGGATATGTAAAACCACATTTTCCCAAAAATAAGCAAAGGACTCATTCACAGAAAGAACAAAATGTCCCACCTGAATTGACAATGAAGGAATTCTTGTAAATTTTTTTGAAGTATATCAAACACTAAAAAGTACATTTCTGAAGCCAACAAGTTTCCTACCTTTTGCTGAAGTCCACCTTAAGGTTGGTTACAACTCTGGTGTGTTGCTCATTTGCAAATCCCACTGCTGTGACTAAGAAAGGGTGGGGCTGCATCCCGAGACATCTGTAGACCAGAGGGGCTGGCAGGGACCTCAGAGCTTTCCATTGAAGTGAGTACTTGCAGCCTGGCTGCAGGAACACTTGACCTGAGGTAACTACTTCCACATATCAACACCTTGTCAGTGGAGATCTGAAAGACGCACAGGCTGTAGAGAAAAGGAAGTACCTGCTTTAGGAAGAGCTAAGAGCTCCCTCCCCCTTCTACCACCAAATCTTTAGTACTGAAGAGAGAAAAGAGAAGTTTATAATCATAAAGCAAATTAGGTGTTTCAATTATGGCAGTGGTTGGCTTTGGTTATTGGTAACTATTATTATAATGAATTTCTTAAAATTTATTGTAATTAACTATATAATGAATTTCTGAAAATTCAGAACATGTATGATTATCTAATTTTAGAATAATTTATTTCCTTGCAGTCAGCGGTTCCAAGTGCACTGTTGTGGCACATACATTAATTATGATTCTTTGTCGGAGGTTCACAAGTAATTTGTGATGAAGAATAGTTTTCGGCCGGGCGCGGTGGCTCACGCCTGTAATCCCAGCACTTTGGGAGGCTGAGGCGGGTGGATCACGAGGTCAGGAGATTAAGACCATCCTGGCTAACACAGTGACACCCCGTCTCTACTAAAAAATACAAAAAATTAGCCGGGTGTGGTGGCGGGTGCTTGTAGTCCCAGCTATTTGGGAGGCTGAGGCAGGAGAATGAAGTGACCCATGAGGCAGAGCTTGCAGTGAGCCGAGATCACACCACGGCACTCCAGCCTGGGCAATGGAGCGAGACTCTGTCTCAAAAAAAAAAAAAAAAAAAAGGAATAGTTTTCAACTGATTTACTCAAAAATAAATGGGAGCAGAGGAGTCAAGGTTATTCCTACGATGATTTCATTCTCACTCACTGATAGTCCCTTTTGCATTCTTGAGTGAATAAAAAAAGACTGGAGGTATTGCTGATGTCCTGAGGATTGCACACATCCTGAAATGTCCACGGAACTATGTCCCGCGTGTGAACATCATTTGCCATGTGTTTTGTCATAGGAACAAGAGCCAAATGCTGAAATCCATTGCTTTAGGATTTGAGTTGGTAATACGTTTTATTTGTCCATACTTAGTCTCATTATAATCAATATACAATACAGAAAAAATTATGATCATGTTAATTATCTAACAATAGTGATAGAGGAGGCATCAAAAGATTGTCGAGTTGCTCTTTCTGTGGGATGGGTCGTACTAAACATGCCCAGAATAGTCAGCAATGATGCACTCTCTGATCATTTCCATTTAGATTCAGAAAATAAAACGCTAGAAAGTGCTATGATGATTAGGTTGAATTTATAACAGAACCTAAAGTATGAAAACTGTGCATGGGGTCTTAAGAAACAGCTGCTGTATGAAAGCTGTGTTATAAACGGAGCTTTTTTTTTTTTTTTTTTTGAGACAGAGTTTCACTCTGTCACCCATGCTGGAGTGCAATGGGTGATCTTGACTCAACGCAACCTCCACCACCCAGGTTCAAGCAATTCTCCTGCCTCAGCCTCCTGAGTAGCTGGGATTACAGGTGTCCACCACCACGCCCAGCTAATTTTTTGTACTTTTAGTAGAGACGGGGTTCCACCATGTTGGCCAGGCTGATCTTGAACCACTGACCGCAGGTGATCCGCCTGCTTTGGCCTCCCAAAGTGCTGAGATTACAGGTGTGAGCCACAGTGCCCGGCCAGGAAGCTGCTGCTTATTAAAATAAGCTCAAAATTGTTTTGGGAATAAGCAGGCCTTAGTTTGCTTGCATTTGCTGAGGTTTAAAGTATTTCAATTTTAGGGGATGTATCTAATGCTTATAGAAATTATGAGCTGATGTTATTTTATGTGTTTTTGAGTTTGTTTTATGTCCATCTTCTTTTCTAGAAAGTAAACTTCATGAAGACAAGGATGTCATGTTTATGTTCATATTGATAGCACCTGTAGTAATATAGCAGCACCTGTTATTCAACAGAAGGTCAACAAACATTTGTTGAATGAAGAAAAAAAAAAACCCTCTGCTTCTCCCCCAGAAAAAGTCAGCAACACATTTCCGCCATCTCATCCACTGCCTTGTAGCTTTTTCCAGGTCTTAACTTTTACAGAGCCATTCACAAGAGATCCACAGATACAAGGCATTGCTTTTCATTTCTTTAGAGGAAAAAAAAAAAAAAAAGAAAAATCTGATACAACTTCACTAGCCAACGTGAAGTTTCTGGTTTCTTGAATTATTTGGCAAAGGGAAAGCACAGGTTGAACTGTTTAGAAAAGATAATGGATTCTTTCTTGAATTTGGAGGACCGGAGCCTTTACACATGGTTTCAAAGTTGATTGAGCACTTTAAGTCCAATGAAGACAGATTCTGCAAACTCAAAGAAACCCTAGCTGATGCGAGCCCCAAGTGTGAACACATCACACCACAACCATGTGGAAACAATAGCCTGTATGGGCAACAAAGGTTTCTGTTTAATGAGAGAAGTGCCATTGTTCTTGAAAGTCTAATTTTGTAAACATCTTACAGTGCTGACTCATCAGTCCTGAAAATCCAATAATAAATCACCACTGTGATTTAGCACTGATGCTAGAATTCACATCACGAAGCGTGCTACAGCATCAGCTGAAACTCAAACAGGTCGCTGAAAGGTGCATTTCCTCAGCAAGCAATTTAATTCATATCAAAGGAATTCTACCCCAAATGAGTGGCAACTGGTTACTTTTGAAAGCTGTTAACTGTTGGGGGAAATGAGTTGTGTTAGTCCTCCATAAAAAGGTAATAATCTATAATCCTGGATGCTTTAAAAGTCGTTTCCTCGAACTCCACAGCAAACAATATAAAATAACAACCCAATATCTTTGCATCTTAATCATGTTTGGTAACGAAGCCCTTTAGATAATTGGCACTGCTTCTGTAGTAGGCCAAACTTTCTTTCAAGTTACAAATGCTCACAAAAGGTTTACATTATAAGGGACTGCTTTGGAGATGGGCAGATTTAGTTTGGAAGTACAAAGTGAACATGCAAATTGCCTTATCTTGTGGGATTCACAAACAACCATCATTCAGATTGATTTAATACATGGCTTTTTATCTTTAAAAGTGTTAATTAGAAAATAGGGACAGTTCTCTGAACACTTAAGAGTAATAAATAGATCAAAACAGCATCCATGCTTCTGTGATGGAACTTCTGAAGGCTTTGTAAAGGGATTAATACAATTGTCAAAAAGACCACAGTATACATATTTAACAGTGCCACCAAGCTACAATTACATTTTTTAGGACTTTATTGCTAAGTTTCTTAATACTTGCTATACTCAGAAAACTGAGATTTTGTACAACTTTTGTTCCATACTTTGAAGTTATCAATTTTCCCACATTGGACCTCTAAACACATTTTTCCAGAAAACATTCTAAAATGGCAAGCTAATATAGGAAGTTATTCAGGGAAGAATGGATTATAGAAGTTCACTAAGTGGATTACTAAGAGAAAAATAATTGTGATTCATGCATCTTCTTTTGAATGAAAAATCTCAACTGTTTTCTGACAATTTGCCTCCACTTTGAAATTTATCTATAATATGAGAAAGTGCTTGAAGGGTTAAATCCTGGCTCTGCCACTGACCACCTCAGTGACTGATGGCATGATGGTTTGACTGTGTTCCCACCCAGATCTCAACTTCAATTGTATTTCCCAGAATTTCCAAGTGTTGTGGGAGGGACCCAGGGGAAGGTAATTGAATCATGGGGGTGGGGGGCTGGTCTTTTCCATGCTGTTCTCGTGACAGTAAATAAGTTTCAGGAGATCTGATGATGTATCGGGGTTTCCACTTCTGCTGCTTCTTCATTTTTCTCTTGCCATCACCGTGTAAGCAGTGCCATTTGCCTCCCACCAAGCTTCTGAGGCCTCCCCAGCCATGTGGAACTGTAAGTCCAATTAAACCCCTTTTTCTTCCAGTCTCAGGTATGTCTTTATCAGCAGCATGAAAACAAACTAATACAGTGACCTTAGGTAAGTGACATTACATCTCTGAGCTTCAGTTTATCTGTAAGATGTGCAAAACCATAGTTTCGTAGGGTCTTATAGTGGAGATTAATAAGATTGTGTTGAACAGTGCCTGGCACTTGAGTAAGCAGTCTGTAAGTTATGATAATTGAGGCAATTGCTTGTGAATCTTGATGGTGATTTTCACTAGGCCTAGTTCTATGGTTAGCCTAACATCCTCACTATAAATACTTGTGAAATGCCTCTATAACTTTACAAGGAAGACAAAAACACCCAGTGCAGGGTTCAGAACCTTAGCTTCCGAGTCTCTAGTGACCTTAACTTCCCCTGCTCTTCAGCCAGTAGTACGATTCAGAGGGCCAAGCCATCCTTTGAGCCATTTCCTTTCCAGGGTCTCCAGTTGTGTTTGTTTTATTACTACTTCTTCTTTATTCAATGTCTCCATTTAACTAATAAGATATATGGGTGGCAAAATAGTAAACAAATATCAAAATATAATGACTTTGTCTCTCCCCACCCCCAAATCCTTCTTTGCCAGAAAACGTAGCATTTTGTCCCTCATTCTAGAAATTTTATTTGCTTCTTGCTTTTAGTTTTTCTCTCTTCTAAAAAAATCTTTTCCTATATGACTCCTTTCAATTCTTTAAGCTTTGTGTTTCATTTCTTTGACCACATGGTCCAAAGCTCCTGCTTCACCCAATTCCTTTTGACCTAGAACCACATTCCCCAGGCCTTTGGCCCTGGGGCTGTCACCCTCTCTGTTCTTAAATGTCACTTCAGTTTTTCTTCTCTGCCTATCTGGTCAGTCCTTCAGTCACCCACCTGTCTGCCCTCCAGAAACACGTTCACTTCTTCCTCTTCTTCCTCCATGCTGTGAATTCTTTTCATTAACTGCTTGTCTACGGTCACTTCAAGACAGTGGTAGTAGAAGGGCAAGTTACAAAACTCTAATCTTGGAAATCAGTATGAATTTCTATTATTTCCTATCGGCTTTGTTTTCCTCTTTTTTGCCTCAACTACCATTAGCTCGTGTGAGCACACCGGTAGGTCCGGCAATATACGAAATGGCAATATACATGCATTATCTTATTGAATGTGTTCATTATTCCTT